ACGAGTCAGTGCCCATTGCTAGCTTGGGTTCTCTTAGGTCTGATACCTGTGCTGTCAGGGAATATAGTTCAGATGTCTTTGAAAACGTTTAGTAAGAATAGACTAGGCAGCAGCTCCTCCTGAATATACATGGCTTCAGGACAGTTGTCAGGCAGGCTAGGCTGGTCTCCTGCAGTGTGTACAGTGACATCTGCTGCCAGGGCCACATGCTGGGGCTGGCTTCCCTTAGCTCTACCTTTAGCTACGATGTAGGCATGCTGGGTGCTCCTTTGAGCTTTGTGGCCCTGACGACATTTGTATGAAGGAAAATCTACATAAGCTTATAAGGGGGCATATTTGAGAAAAAATGGCAGTATAAATACACATGGGGGTCTTTTGTAGAAATTTTCCTTGGGTCTCTGATTTCTGGGATCTGTCCTTCAACACAGAAAACACATTAAAACTCCCACACTGCTCTTAAAGAATTTGAGCTTTTTTTTTGTTTGTTTGTTTTGTTTTGTTTTTGCTTTTTTAAGACAGGGTTTCTCTGTAGGTTTGGAGACTGTCCTGGAACTCTCTTTGAAGACCAGGCTGGCCTTGAACTCACAGAGATCCGCCTGCCTCTGCCTCCTGAGTGCTAAGAATTTGAGTTTTGAAAAGTAATTTTCATTTGAAATTCTTTGGTCCCAGGGAACTCCACTTGGCTCTAAGTTTTGGACAAAATTTATCAGCGAATTAATGAGTGGCAATCTATATCTCAGGAATGCCCTTCAGGTATATAAAATGCTCATCAGGATAAATTAAGAGTTAGGAGGTTCTGTTTGTGGAAATCCTTGTTTGTATTTGTATTTATTTGAAACTTAGCCGTGTGGTTCCTGTATTTGGGGGCCAATTAAAAGTTCTTGTCCTGGTTCCAACGTTTTTCTGTCTTTGAAAAGCCAGATGAATGAGTTCGGTAAACGTGGCCACAGGTGTGTGATTGGCAGCAGGCAATAAAAGTCGATTACCTCACTTAAGGTTCCACACCTTCACCTCCTATTCAAACTGGGAACAGGCTCTGATCCCGGTCCTGACACCACTTGGGACACAAGAGAAGGGATGCTGCGGAGCCTTCCTGGGGCGGGGGGGGGTGGAGGTCACACACT